CAATTTTTTCATTTAAATCATTTATCCATATATCTGTAGGGTCAAATCTAACTTCTGTTGTTCCACCAGTTCCCTGTTCTGCAACATTTGGCTGTCAGAAGTGTGCACTTTTGATGACTTTTGGGTCATCTAGATGTTTCCTAGGTGGCATATTGATTGTGGACCAGGAATATCAAACATCGGCCCGGCTAGGGCTCCAATCTGGCCCACTGGACTTTTTTGTGGAGGGGTAATTCAGCTTTGGACTTTTATCTGTAATTTTAAAAGTTTTGTTGACTAATAAAAACTCTTACATGGCTACTCACAACACATCAAAGTAATTTGATTATAGATTTCTGTGATTTTACGCATTTATTTCTTTAAGTTTAAGTCCAAAGGGTTATGCTGAATGAATGAAGCATTTGTTTATAATGTAGAAAGACTGTGACACAACTGAACTTAGTTTCACTGGTCCGGTTCAAATAAGATGGGCTGTGTGTGGTAATTGTATCTGTTGACATTCCCTCCTGCATTAGCTTAAGCCATCAACAAAGAGTGTAACCTCATTTTTTGTCAGTGGCGCCAAATGAATCAGTGCAAGGGAGTATAGCTGCTTCTAGGCAAGGACTGCCATTTTCCCCTCGTTTGGGCTGGGCCTTGTGATTACAGCATGAATATTTGATACTTCTTACACACATTACACATCAATCACATAAATATTGTATATTATTCATATAATCATCATATAAATACTACGCAGATATGTTACTTGAATAATTACCATCATGAGAGAAAGTGAGGAAAAAACTGAGACTATTCACTCATATCAGCCGAGAGGGCACACGGCCTGCTTACTCGTCTTTTTCCACACTTTTAACAGAAAAATACGCCACTCACATAATTCACCACCGTACAGAATATATTCTGATTTATTGCGAGCAACACAACCTGATGTTGTTGCAGTTGTAGTAATTTCCAGCCTGTCCTTGTTTGTCCTGCCTTTGCCGCTCCTCTGAGTTCCCTGTTTGACATAAAAAAATGGATGCAGGAAATGAAATTGTTTTAAAAGTTTTATCCGGCCTGTACAGCTCATCTACTAACTGGAGGGTTGATGGTGCGATCCCTGGCTGCTCCGGCCTGCGTGCCAAATATCCTCGGGCAAGACATTAACCCTAAGTTTCCCTCTATTCATGCACATGTTGAGCATGAGTGCTGGAGGAGATGTGGGTTACATTGTGTTGCTAAAGCAGTTAGTGGAACATCAGTCGACAGTTAAGTATAACAGTGAAGTTAGCTGGTAGCAGCTAGGTTGTTTGGACTGTGTTGACAGCAGAGTCAGGCTGCACAGTGTTTCTCAGAGCATCTTTTTGCCTCTTTAAACTGTTTTGGTGAAGTAACTCTGTGAGAGACTACGGAGATTAAAAATAAAAAGGGACATGCCACGCACACTTGATGATGCCATTTCCTCTTTCACTTCAGGTTCAGCAGCATTACCGCGCAACATGGCATTCTTAACAAGTAAGCGAGACAGGGAGCCAGGTGACAGTCAGCGTTTGCCTTCCTGTCACAAGGCTCCAGCTGAGGAGAAGAAAATCAGGATGTTATGTAGAAAAACAGGTACTCGCCTGCTGCGAATGTTTTTGTAAACTTCTGCATCTTTCTTTGCAAGTGTATTATTCCTCCTTAAACTCTAGCTGCTATTTGAAATGATAGTTTCAGTTCCTGTGCCTGTCCTGCAGTGCACAGTGACTCCAGGTCACTGAAGAGGAGGCCTGCCAGCCCTGCTGTGCTCAGATCCACCTGCCCTTTAACAGCTCGAGCACAGAGAAGGATGGACAGGGATGAAAGAGAAGGGAAGCAACAGAAGAAGGGAGTGGAGGGGGACAGGCGAGAGGGCGCTCAGATACACCTCCTGAGACCTCGCCAGCACTTACTTCATGTCAAGAGGGCTAACAAGGTCTGGTCATGCTTTACTACACGTTTGCTTGTGTGAAAAGTGTGCTGTTGTATCATCGGTATGGAAACCAAACACTAATAAACATACAGGTCCTTTTAACACCCGGGGTTGTTCCTTTTGGACTTTGTCAACAGTTTTTTACTAAGTTCGATGAGAAGAGTAAAAGGTCTTGGACACATTGTCAGTGGCACCTGATGGTGGCTGAAGAGGGCCACTGACTGAGTGTGTGTGGATTAATAAAGCTGCTCTTTGACAGTCACAGCGCTGCTGTCAATGCTGCCAAACAGCTGAAACAGTCACAGTGACATTTAACCTGACATGTGCAATATTGAATACAAATGCATAGAGAGCTGTCGCCTCTCTGACATCTAGAGCTAAAGTTAAAGTTGCTGGTAAGTGATACAAACAGTCCAAACACTGGGTCTGCAGATATGAATCAGCTTTAGTGTACACAAATGATGGATTTGTTTGTTTGTTTTGCTTCTGCTTTGTTGTTATCATACACCAACATAGCATTGTTTTATTTTGGTGTTGTGTGTTTGTATATTTTTGCTACAGCTTATATGTCAAAGGAAATCTGAGTATTTCTTCACCCGTGTGTGTGTGCACCCCTTGTGCATTTGAGATTAGCATTTGTTAAAAAAAACATCCCCAAGACAGACTGTGGGGGTTTGGAGGGTCCTCCCCCCCAATGGCATAGATGTTAAATAATTCTCCCCGGATGCTCTGATTTCCTCCCACAATCCAAGGACATCAGTGTTTGATGGAATTACGATCACTAATTAATGTAAATCGTCGATCGGATGCAAGTTTCACTCCATGGGTTAGTCCTCCGATGGTCGTGGGAACTATCTGTTGTGTACCCCCCATAGTTGGCTATAGTTGGATCAGCACTAAAAATAAATGGACAGAGAAACAGGAGCAGTGGTGACACCTCCTTTCATCATCTTATACACAGATCTCAGAAACAAAAAACAGTCCAGAAAGTGACTGAAACCTTTAGAAATGTAAGTTGTGATCAGACTGAAAGCCTCTCACCTTGTCTGTGTGTGTGAACGTATTTAGTTTCAATCTCTGGGCTATGTCATCACGGCTCAGTGATGCCAACGCTAAAGTCATGTGATGGTGGCGTTGTTCCTCTGGATGCGTCGTTGACTTCATATGTTGCCAAATGCATTTAAACAAAAATTGCATGGTTACTGTGAAACCAAAACATCTAAGCATCATAAACCAGGGTGATGCTAACTTCAGGCCTACAAAAATGATTATCCACAGAAGTATGCAGACTATCACAATTTCTCTCTGTTGCAGGTTGCCATGGTTACTAAAATCTCTGAGCAAAGAACCTCCTGTGTAGCGTCAGTCATTCCTTTAACGCCGAGAACTGGTGTTGGTAACAAACAAGGCACAAGGCCAAGCAATACATACAAATCAAGGCGCCATCCCCAAAGCAGAGCCCAGGAAAGCAGCAACAAGTACCACCCCCTACATCACAACCACCGTCGAGCTAACAATCAGCACCTTCGCCACCCAACGCTTTCTAAATACTATAGCATCCACACGACCTTCAGTATTCTCCACAATTCAGGAAGAAATTCATGCCAAACTCCATGTTTAAATAAACGTTCAGTGTCTAGACGGCTGAATGAGAACCCTGTGGTCCTGAGGTTATCCAGACGGAGGAGGGGCCTTCCACCAGACACCAGTCCTGTCCTTCCGAATCGGGTTCCCTTGGACAAAAACTCATCAAATGAGTGCCAGACATCTCAGGACAAAGATGCTCGTGTCTCACAGGAGAGTGATATTTACGAGATTCAGCAGAAAGGGGACAATGTTAGAGAGGATTATGTGAACATGTGTAAACACTCTGGTAACCACGATGTGAAAGCTGTAGGAAAAAGATACGGGCATGTTGGAGATGTGAAACTTGAGAGGGGAAAGGGAAATATAGAAAAGCTGCCTGTGGCAAGCACAGCTGCTCTGGAGGCCTCTGATCAAAGGGAAAGCCTCACTAATGTCAGCACTAGCTATAACCTCATGCCTGCTGGTGAGGTTGTATGGAAACACCTGAGAGAGAAAACACTCCAAAAACATCAGAACTCTGCAATCTTAAAGCCACCTGCCAGGGCTAATGAGTCCAGGGCTGCTGCTGCTAGGACTAGTGTAACTAAAGCTGCTATTAACTCAGTGACATCTGACCCACCAGCCAATTCTTTTTCCAGGCACAGTGCCAAGGGTACTGATAACAGCAAGAAAATTAAGAAGAGTAGTTTACGAGCCGGCACCAACATAGCCCGTGAATCCAAAAGTGCTACAAAACAGTCTTCAATGAGCACCACGAAGGACACATGCAAGGATGGTGCACTTACCATCAGTTACTGTAGCGCTTCCAAAGAGGGGCTTCTCCAGGCCAAGCCTACTACCTCAGCCATCAAGACCAGGTTCAGCTCTAGAATCCTTCTAAAGCACTGATTTTTAAACAGTATCCAAACATGAATACACTCACTGTTATGTAACTAAGATTTTATGATGACAAGTACAGAAATGTTTTTAAAAGCTTTTATTGTGTTGAATAGTGGCAGAGCATGATGACGGGTTTCCTGTCAGACAGTACATGTCCTGTACTGGTGTCATTGTTGAAGATAAAATAAACTGGAAGTCATGATACTGGCTGATGCACTATAACGTGGACTGTATGATGCAGAAGTGATAAAGCTTAAAAGCTGCTAGCTTTCAGTTGATTCATTGTTTGCTTTTTGTCTGTTTATTTTCTTCTTGCTTGCTATTTCTCTTACTGTATCTTGGAAAAAAATAAAAGTATGGGGGGGGGCACCTTTTAGCACATTATGGTAAATGGACTGCTCAGTGTGAGCTGTCAAAGCACTTTTTCTACACGTTTCATTCACTCATTCACGCACAATGCGTTTATCTAAAGCGCATTTACATAACAATCGCACACACTTTGATGGGAGATCCATGAGCGGACCTCGGGGTTCATTATCTGCTTGAAGGATTCTGTGACACATGGACAGGTGGAGCCAGGCATCAAGCCGCCGACCTGGTAGAGCACCAGCTCTGCCTCGGAGCCGCGGCCACCACGAGGTCAACATTTTGTTTGAACAGCTACAGTAGTTGGTCTCCTCGGCTCCCAGCTGCCCTCGGGCTTCTGTCCTAGCATTTCTGAAACGTGTTGCTAACTTGAAATTTATGTGTTCAAAATAATAAACACAGTTTTAAAATTGAAGCTTTAACATTTGACATTTTTATACTACTGCTACATTTTGACCCAAGACAGTTTGTTGTACTACATAATGTCGCGTTTAATCAGTCTGCATATTTTATCTGCATTGCCAATAATAACTTTTGCACTATTTTAGGACCATAATAAACGTTTCAGCTAACATAGTTTACTAATGCTAGAATGTAAAGAATGCAATAACGGCACCACTGCTGCATCAAGCAACGTGCAGCATGACCCCTGGGTGTTTGCTACCCGGGGGATCAAACCCTCTGTGGGGCAAGTGTTGCCATCTTGGAGGATGGAGGTTGGTCCTAGACGATGGAAACACAAGATTTCCACTGATATGTTTCTTGAGTGAGATTAATGACAAGCCTCGTTTTTCCAGTAAGGACTATGCTACCCTATATTTTTATGCTGCCTCCACCAAAAGCTGTTGTTCTCCGAGCCTTCCTCACACTTTGACCCTATGATCAAACTGCCATAGGCGGAATCTGGACTCAGTGCTGACAGACTGTTCCTCCCAATGTTCATGTCCCAGAACATGTTACTGACACCAGCACAGACAAGTCAAGCTCACAAGTATTAGAACTGCTCATTTGGAAAATCATCGGCTGCAGGATTAGTGAAGCTGAAGCAAACGCTGAGATTACAGCTGTAACAGTGTATCCTGATGCATAGAAAGTGGTTGATTAATAAAGTAAACATTTAAATACATAAGATGTTCAAATTGTTATACTCCGGCCCAGTTTGAGGGTTTTCCTGCTTTCTTCTTGTCATAGAGTCAATTTTATAATCTTTCTCAGCTGGATGGTTCTCTATGACTCGACCTATAGGCAGTTTCCCTTTTCTGGGTTTGCAAGCACCTGTTATATATTATGTCATCAATCTTGGCTTCATGGTTACAAAAAGCTGGGACCCACTTTGTTATGTTAACCCAGGGTTTTCCCTGCATGTTTGCACGAAAGGGCTGGTGTGACAACATCTGACCAATCTAAAAGAGCATCTCACAGTTCATAACACTTTTCTTTCACAGAAAAGGATTCCTCTGAGTGTCACCTGTAAAGAAAATAAAAGAAATATACCAGTAAAACACCACAGGATTGTAAAAAGGACAAGAGGTGAATCGTTCATCTGGTGATTTAGCACACAGAGCAGCAAAATAAACACTTTAATACCAGGTAATTATCTTGTCACTGAGCTGCTGTTTACTTTTAAGGTGATGGGAAGCTCAACTGTCCCACGGGCTGATAAAGGAAATGTGGAAATCACTTTAATGTGTCACAGATCAACGTGAAATAATGTGACTGACTGAGCTGATGCTCTGTGTCCTGTGTTGTAGCTGCTTTTTCACCACAGAAAAAAGACAAGACAGCAACTCAGTCCACTGAAAGCTGAACTCGACTTATCGACATAAGACCTCAAGAAGTGAAAATGACGAGACCATGTTCAGTCGTTTGTTCGATATGATTTCTTTTGAGCACATTTTGTCCACACTCCATAACAGTGGGCGGCAGTAATGCACCGTTCTGCTGTTTGCAGCCGCTAATAAACGTCAACAAGACGAGAGCGAGCGGTGGCTGCAGCTAGCTGTCAGGACCGAAATCGCGCGTGTCCGAGACGAATCATGTTTGAAAACTTCAGAGAAAAGCTTCACATCGTCCAGCAGGATTTCACAACGGGGTTGGTCCGCTGTTTTCTGCACTAGTGAACTTTGGGTAACGTTAGCTGAGTTCGTGCATTAGGTCTTGCCAGTGTGTAGCATAGCAGGTAACGATAGCTAATGAAAAAACAACTGCAGTGTGTGCTACAGAGAGCAGCGGTTACTGAACCAACCAACCAGTTCTTATTCTGCTTTTGTGCTGGCTGAATGCGTCAGCATACCCAGTACTAATTTCCATTTGTTAGCGTGCCAACTGGTGCGATCCCAGCTGTTTACGTTACTGCTGTCAGCTGATAGTCATGTGATGACCCCCTCCCACAAACAAACTTTTGGAGTGCAGCTGTTTTGTGTGTTTGAGGGAGAGTGTGTGTAATCGGGCTCTATTCTAAGAAGCAGGTTCAGCTAATAACGCGTTTGTTATCTCTGAGAGGAGGGAAACTCTGTTTGTGTTCATCAAATAGAGTTAGCGTTAACTCTGAGTCAGTTACCAAGGTAACAGACGGTAGTTACCTTAGTTTGTTACTTTGTGTTCTTGACTTAAATGCGTTTTTGTAACAATGTGGTCATGGAGATGCTGTCAACATTTGAATGAATATGAGTCTCACACTAAACTGAAAATAATGCAGCCTGCAGACAGCGTGTGTTCTGACTACAGTCCATGTTAACTTTAATGGATGAATATTAAACTTTCTGAAATGTTCAGAAAGTTAGAGACCGAGCCTCGACATATTTTGCACTAAAAATCACCTGAATCAGTCTCACTGGGTTGACCCAAAAATCTGATCCGCTCTAAGAGGATCAGCTGACTTTTTCCTTTTCTTGTCTCCCCACAGCTTCAAGACACTTGGAGACAAATCAAGAAATACCAAAATGAAGAGGAGACCCAGGTGAGAGCTGGGTCTAAAAAAAAGTTAAAAAAAAAATATATATATATATATATAATGGAGTATAATGCTGATAACACGTGATGCGCGGTGCCGCAAATTTAAGCGGCATGATTCATCATTTAGTGAGTTCATTAGTTCGACGTTTTCCATTAAACGGTTCTCAAACTGAAATTACTATCTGAGTGTTTCTTGGTTTTAGTCTAGTGGGTTAGTCTATGTTTTTTTTCCTCATTTAGTCAATTAAGAAATTAGTCACCAGGAACATCCATAGTTTGAATCTCGGGGTGACCTAAAGGTCAGAGGTCAAGATTTCTGAAAATCTTGTGAATGTGATACTGAGAATTGATAGCATACATGGATTTACTAAAAATCTTGGAGGAGATCAAATCTCAGTGACCTCGACCTCCAGGTAAAGGCCAGAAAACAACTTCCCTGAAATGTTGAAGTTGATACCACAGGTGTGTCTGCTGGGAGGCTGAGAGGTAGTCGTGGCAGGTGCCAGTGTTTTTATATCACTGAATTCTTCAAAAAAACAAAACAAATAAACTGTTCAAAACTACTGTGTGAGAAAGTATTTGCTGCCTCCTGTTAAATCATTAAGTAACGGTGACCAGCCACGTTCTTGTGGAAGTTTCACCAGCCAACCAGCAGGTTTGATTCAGAACCTGTTTTGCTGTCGGGTAACAGTACTAACCACTTCATCACTGTGCTGCTTATCCTATGCCTGAAAAAGGCTTAAGATTCCTCAGGAAACTCAACTTAGTGTCTGGATATAATGCAATAAATGCAGTGTTGTTTCATTGGAGTATAAGGATTAGCAGAAATGGCTAGCCATAACAAGCTGACCATGTAAGTAAGCAGCTTCATTCGTGACAGACAAACATTGTGTGATCCGTCTGTCTGTTGTCCAGGTTTGAAGAGCATGTTCCTCATTTCAGTGCTGGCCTGGAACGAACACTACACACACACTCACACACACACACACACACACACACACACACACAACACACACACACACACACACACACACACACACACACACATCACAAGGTTAAAAGGAAAGAAAAGTGTTTATGCTGTTAAAATGATTATTTGTAGGTATGAGGAGAGTTGGTTTCTGCTGCATAAAAGAACGAAGGACTGTGCTCAGGCTGCAGAGGTACGAGCTATTTCTCTGTTTTTGCCTTGTTAGAAATCTACTTTCACGTCTCGCGGCATCGTTCGTTTACCTAAATTTAAGAGGTAGAAGAACTAAAAAACCTCTTTTAAATATATTATTGGCTATAAGTAAAACAGTTGGACTGAATGAGGGTATGATACCTCTTTTCTTTTTTCCACTGTTTGTCTGGGGTTGCTTGAATATCAGTTGTATAGAGTTTGCGACTGTGACATTAATGCAAAGCTGGGTCGTTTTAATATTCATTACTGACTGAAGAAAAGTTATCTCTACTTCTAAGAGTTATGTCTCTTAAAAGTAGAGATAGTGTCCGTCTCCTGAATCCAAACTGCAGCCAAAACAGGAGAAATCTGCTCTCTCTTTCTAGTCCCTGTCAGGACTCTTGCTGCAGCATTTTGGATCAGCTGAAGGCTTTTCAGGGAGTTTTTAGGACTTCCTGATAATAATGAATTACAGTCGTCCAGCCTGGAAGTAATAAATGCATGAACTAGTTTTTCAGCGTCACTCTGAGACAGGATATTTCTAACTTTAGAGATGTTGCGCAAATGGAAGAAAGCAGTCTTACATATTTGTTTAATATGTGCGTTGAAGGACATGTCCTGGTCAAAAATGACTCCAAGGTTCCTCACAGCGTTACTGGAGGCCAAGGTAATGCCATCCAGAGTAAGAATCTGGTTAGATACCATATTTCTAAGATTTTCAGGGCCGAGTACAATAACCTCAGTTTGATCTGAATTAAGAAGCAGAAAGTTAGCGGCCATCCAGGTCTTTATGTCTTTAAGACATTCCTGCAGTTTAACTCATTGTGTGATCTGCAGATGATCTGTTAGGTACGTAAGACTGGAGCTCTGCTTCCTGGTCCCAACTCTGGATCGTCACTTTTTGGGGCGTTTAATAAATGTGGCCAGATTTCTAGAAATGAGAGCTGTGCCATCCAAAGTGGGATGGATGCTGTCTCTCCTAACAAGGCCAGGTTTCCTACACAAAGTTGCTTCCTCCTCATCGTCACCCAGCCAGCAGTCTTAGCTAATTATAGGCCAATCTCCAACCTTCCTTTATATCAAACATCCTTGAAAGAGTAGTTGTCAAACAGCTAACAGATCATCTGCAGAGGAATGGTTTATTTGAAGAGTTTCAGTCAGGTTTCAGAGCTCAGCACAGCACAGAAACAGCTTTAGTGAAGGTTACAAATGATCTTCTTATGGCCTCTGACAGTGGACTCATCTCTGTGCTTGTCCTGCTAGACCTCAGTGCAGCGTTCGATACTGTCGACCATAATATCCTATTAGAGCGATTAGAACATGCTGTAGGTATTACAGGTACTGCGCTGCAGTGGTTTGTATCATATCTATCTAATAGACTCCAGTTTGTGCATGTAAATGGAGAGTCCTCTTCACACACTGAGGTTAATTATGGAGTTCCACAGGGTTCAGTGCTAGGACCAATTCTGTTTACATTATACATGCTTCCCTTAGGCAGCATCATTAGAAGACATAGTATACATTTTCACTGCTAGATGACACCCAGCTCTATCTGTCCATGAAGCCAGATGACACATGAATTAGTTAAACTGCAGGAATGTCTTAGAGATGTAGAGACCTGCACTTTTGCTTCTAAATGCACATGTGATTGAGGTTACTAAAAATCTGAGAAACATGTCCAACCAAATACGGACACCAGATGGCTTTTCTTTGGTCTCTAGTCTGTTGAAATTTCCAACTGTGAACTCTTAAAACCAGGCTTCTGGTCTTCTTATCATTTTCATCTTTCATTACATTCTCATTCATCATATTAATTATATTTTTCGCTCTTTATTAGAAATATCCTGTCTCAGAGTGACGCTGAAAAACTAGTTCATGCATTTATTACTTCCAGGCTGGACGACTGTAATTCATTATTATCAGGAAGTCCTAAAACTCCCTGAAAAGCCTTCAGCTGATCCAAAATGCTGCAGCAAGAGTCCTGACAGGGACTAGAAAGAGAGAGCAGATTTCTCCTGTTTTGGCTTCCTGTTAAATCCAGAATCAGTTCGTAGGCTCTTTAAAAGTAGAACGGCATAAATAAATGTTTATGTTTGTATTTCTTTATAAATTTTTTTAAGCTCAGCACTTCACAGATACAGTGATTTCTAGCAATTCATAGATTACAACTAAGGAAGTGGCTGCAGGACAACACAGAGTGACTTCAACCTGAAAAATAAAAACAACGACTCTGAATCAGCTCTGCTTATATTCAGTTAGTTAACAGTTAGATAGCCTGTGGTTTTGTGCCGGCGGCGATCACAGACGACCTAACAGTTCCTACTGCCTCTGGTCTGCTCACGGTCACCCCTCTTTGTTTCAGGCACTGGATGGTGACATAGTGATGCTCTCAGCACACTGGGAGAGAAAAATGACGTCACTAACACAACTGCATGAACAACTGCAAAGCTTGCCAGCCTTTATCAGTGATCTTGATGCCATCACTGCTAACATAGGTTCGTGTTCATTTCTGTGGTCAGATGACAGTCAGCGGGTCAGATGATGATATGATGTCAGCCGCCTCAGCGTTTAGAGCTTCTACTTTAAGGATTGAACACAAAACCTCAAGTTTCCATGTTGAGTAATGCTTTACACCGAGGTCTGACAGCTATGCTACGAAGCTTAGTCAAGTGTTGATACAAAATAATAAGATAAACCTTTATTAGTCCACGTGTGGGAAATTTGTTAGATTGTTAACCTGACTTAAGCAATGAGAGAAACTTAGTAAAGGGATGATAACAATACGTTAAATGTAGTCTTTTTAACAGAGATTGTATTAAAAAGCAACTTGTATGTGAGCACCTTAGTATATCAGTAATTCCAAGGACATGCAGTTTATGGCTTCACATTTTCCAGCAGCTCTTCCTGCACTGCTCATATTAAAGTGACCGAAACAATCTGGCCAACAAAGACAACAGAATTTGACTTTTTACACATGGGCAGTGTTTTTGACAAAATGGAACAAAGATGCAGGTTTTTGTGGTGTTTATGTGCGATTGTTTCCAGCTCATTTGGAAGGCGACTTTGAGGAAATGGAGAGCAGACTGGTTTACCTGGAGGCACTGTGTTTGCAGTGTGAGCAGCAGACAGCCAAACAGCAACATATCAACCAATCAGAAAACTACAAGAAAAAAAAAAGGTATGACAGTTTTTTTTCCTTCTTAATGAAAAACCTTTATATGTGAGATATTAAAATCAAACTGATTTAAAAAGTGATAAAATGATCTTTATGTAATTATAAACATCAAAAACAGACCATTTATATAGAAATAGGCAGGCATCAGTGAAATGTATTGTCTTAGATTTATGGCTGTCATTTTTGAGTGTCTTTGTGACTCCTGTCAGTTTGATTAAACTAATTACATTCAAAGTGAAAAAGCAGAAGTGTCACCACATTATTTAAACGGTCAGAGAAACAGAATGACCTTAAATGTTTGGGTGATTAATGAAAATCTTCCTTTCTGTAAATAGGAGGGAGTTGGAATTACTCGAAGGTGAGTTTCCGCGTGTTCATCCTCCAGTTTCTTACATGTTATTCTCAACAATGGTAAACCTGGTACAATACCAGCAGATGTTGTTTAAGCTGCGTTTCTTCCTGTTTTGTAGAGGAGTTGGGTTCTGAGCATGCTCAGAAAGTAGCAGAGCTGGAGCTGGTCATGCAGCAAAAACTGAGAGAGCGACAGAAAGTCTACGAAGAAGCCTTTAACCAAGATGTGGAAAAATACCTGTCCACTGGATGCCTGCAGAACAGAGGTAAGACAAATGAAAGATTGTTGACACTACTTTGTCTAACTATATGAAAATGTATAAATAATGAAATGACAAATAGCCTTTAACACCCAAACAAAGACATCTGCTAAGAAAATGACTAATGGTGAATAACTTCAGGATAATAAAAAATAATCCATATCTTCCTCCAAATGGGCTTTTTTCATCGGCTCCGTCTCTTCATATATAAGATGGAGCACAGCTTATCTTAACGACCTTGTAGTACCATATCACCCTATTAGAGCACTTGGCTCTCGCTCTGCAGGCCTACTTGTTGTTCCTAGAGTATTTAAAAGTAGAATGGGAGGCAGAGCCTTCAGTTTTCAGGCCCCTCTTCTGTGGAACCAGCTTCCAGTTTGGATTCAGGAGACAGACACAATCTCTACTTTCAAGATTAGGCTTCAAACTTTCCTTTTTGCTAAAGCATATAGTTAGGGCTGGACCAGGTGACCCAGGATCCTCCCTTAGTTATGCTGCAATAGACGTAGGCTGCTGGGGATTCCCATGATGCACTGGGTGTTTCTTCTTCACTCACTGTGTATTTATACACCACTCTGCATTTAGTCATTATTGTTATTCTCTCTTCCACGGTGTCTTTGTCCTCTCTTCCTGCCATCAGCCCAAACAGTTCTGCTAGAGGTTGTTTTTACCTTGCAATATAAAGTGCCATGAGGCGAGTGCTGCTGTAATTTGGTGCAAAATAAATTGAATTGAACTGTATCAGCCAGGACTAGTTGGGAGTTAGGAGAGGAAGACCACTGTACCACAGTACCTTTAATACCTGCAGCTGCACTGAGGTCTAGCAGGACAAGCACAGAGATGAGTCCACTGTCAGAGGCCATAAGAAGATTATTTGTAACCTTCACTAAAGCTGTTTCTGTGCTGTGCTGAGCTCTGAAACCTGACTGAAACTCTTCAAATAAACCTCTGCAGATGATCTGTTAGCTGCTTTACAGAGATAAAAGGAAGGTTGGAGCTTATCCTAAGACAGCTGAGTCAAGTGATGGCTTTTCAAGCAATGGTTATTTACTGCTAATTTGAAGGCCTGGGGTATGTAGCCCATTAAAAGAGCCCACATACAGCCTCTTCTACATTTTTAGAAGTCATGTGAGTAGGGCTGCCACGATTAGTCGACTAGTCACGATTACGTCGACTATCAAAATCGTCGACCACTAATTTAATAGTCGACGCGTCGTTTGAAGCTCTGTAAGATCCCAAAAGACGCAGGAATAAGTAGCAGGATTTAAGAGTGTAATAACGGACTGAAACAGAAGATGGCAGCATTGCACGTACAAGGATGCCAGCTGCTGATAAACCCCGAAGAAGAAGCAGCTGTGTCCGGTGTCGTAGCTGTGTCCAAATTCAGGAACCGCATCCTACTGTGCCCACTTTTGTAGGCCGAAGACTCCGACAAATGCATAGCCCAGCTTAGTTTCCAACAATGGCGGCAGCTAGTTAGTTTTAATATTACTCTTATTATTCTTTCTGTGTCACAAAATAAACGTTTAACATATTTTCATGGAGAATGTAGCTGTGTAAACCTCAAATATCGGCTCAGTTTATCAGGACACCACATATTTTCAAAAGCGCTCCGACGTTTTCGGAGACGTCTGTTAGCCACTAGCTCGATAGCTAGCCGGGGGCTAGGTCACTAGCGCCGTGAGAACACCGGACTCCCGGCCAATCGTTTTCAAACCCACTGCTGTCTTTCGCTACTCAGGTTAAACATGATATATGAGTCACTTAGATAACTTAAAAATGTTGTTTGTAATATGTAATGTTATATTTTTTTTAGTATTTTATTTGTTCCTGAGTAAATCGGTTTGGCTGAGATTAAAGTTATAGTTTTTACACAGCTGAATAAACGTCAAGCAGACAGCTGATTATCAGAAGTGTGAGATGCTCGAGAGTTTACTCCGGTGTCCTGTTATATTTTAGATAGCAAGGAGTTTATTAAACTTCACCGAAACAATCTGCAAATTTCATTAAAATTTAATAAACTATCATCTTGTCTTTATTTTTAGTTAGCACCTTAAACACTTAAAGCTGTAAGCTAATGATAGTTATATAAGAGCAGATGCTGCTGGTGCAATAAGCTGTACGTCCAATGGATGATGATCTGACTAGTCGACTATCAAAACAATCGTTTGTGGCAGCCCTACATTTGAGTCTAATAATAGATTAAATGCAAAGGCTGTCATTTTCAGCAACTGCATGGATGTTAAAATCACCCACTCTAATTATTTTACCTGAACTGAGTACTAAAAAAAAGTCTGAGACAACCGAGAATTAAAATAAGGGCGAGGTGAGGGGATCAGTCCCGTGTTTGCAGTGGTGATTGAGAGGTTGCAGGGGCATCCATATTATGTTCTGGCAGACAACACTGTGATCTGTAGTGAGTCTGGAGAGGTGGATGCATGTTCTGGAGAAACGAGGAGTGAAAGTAGGTGTAAAGACAGAACGTGTGTGAAATATACACCCTGTTGATTGAAACGATGCACTGTTTGCCACATGTAGTATGTATCAGTAACTGTAGAGTTCATATATTAAGTTTAGCAAATTGCATAATTGGAGTGTACGTTTACTTTTGCAGAGCCAGCAGGTGCTGATGTTTGCTCTCTGGATCAGGTGACACTAACTAACACAGACCAAGAGGCTTTGGATGACTTCCTCAACTCCAGTGGAGATGAAGTCACTACTGAATCATCATTGACATCAGGTAATCTCAACTCAAGACATGTTGTCATAGAGTACAAAGCAGAATTATTTATCCTGACAAAACACAATCAGCTTGGTAAACTCATACAAACATGTCAAAACATCAGCATGTTTAATGTTCCAATACAATATTTCACTTTCACTTGTGGTCAGACGTGTACATGTGGTGATCGTGGACATGGCTGTCATGGTCATTTTGGACTTTTCATGATTTCTTTGAACTGTTCTTTTCCAATGGTCCATACAGGGGAAGTCAGTAAGTGCATAAGAACAAGCCAGGAAATTGATCCCAAACATCCATCTAAATGGTTTTATAATGAGTAAAAGAAGGTGAATATAAAGCATCTGGAATGACCTGAAGCATTTAGAAAATGCATAAAAGCTGTGTGTGTGATAGTAAACCAGCCAATTTAAATGAATGTTACCAACTCTGTCGAGAAGCGTGGTCAAATATCCTGCTTACATCATGCCAGAAGCTTGTTAATAGCAACATTGAGTAAAACTTGCTAGAGGACATTTAACCAAATATTGAAGGTGTATTAGTGCAGCTGTATGGATATGTACTAATGTCAGTACTAATATCCATCATTCATTCAAGTAAGATGTATGCTGTACAATCATTCCACCCTAAAACAGAAAACAATCTAAGAGCTCTTTTTGAGGTTGACCCCTGCCCAGTGTTGCCAACTTAGCGACTTTGTTGCTATATTTAGCGGATTTTCAGACCCCCTTTGCGTCTTTTTTTCTAAAAAAGTGACTAGCGACAAATCTGGCGACTTTTGCTGGTGTTATTAGGAAGACTTATGACCACTTTTTGAGATGAGAGCACGTATCGCTCTTACTCTCCACAAGCACCGGGTGCTGCCGTGGCCACCTGACCCGTGCCAAAGCGCTCACAGGTGGCGGTCCCCACGCAGCAGTCACCTCCAGCTGCTGTCAGAGCAGGAGGTGCTGACCCCTACGCATCCAAACTGCAAATGAATCGCACATGACGAAGCCGCTGCACCCACCCTGACTGTAACGCAGTCAGTTCTTCTTTTACTTTTTGTGGATCACAAAGTTTAAAACTACTTAAAAACACACAACTCGTCTCTACAGAGGAGCTATAAATGATGGAAGCATTAAATATTACGGTCAGATGAGGACTGAAAATTAAGCTTGTCGGGTACTCTGTGAAATAAGGCTCGTCTTCTCTAATAGGTCCAGACCTTACACGTTGCTCTTCTGAATCTTCGAACCAAACCTCTCCCCCAAACGACCAGCTGTCCAACAAGGATGTATTCTGGCAGCCAGAAGAGGAACTGGCCAGTCAGGAGAGCGATGAGCCTCTGGTGCAGTCAGACGAAGAGGATATTCATCCAGATATGGCGCTGGTTGGTCTCCATGATGTTGGTACACTCAGAGGCTCTGACGACAGTGACAGTTCAGCAGACCTGTGCACTGGCACCTACGCCCTTGGAAAGGCCTGAATGTTGGACCTGTGGCTACTGCATTGATTTAGCAGGGCTTAGAGCTTTTTCTGGTCCTCAAAGATCTTCCAGATGTTAGCCTACAATGCTTTTTTTAAAAGATATAATTTCTTTGTTTTTTCAAAATGTAAAGCTTTTGAAACAATGAATTGATTCTACTAACCACGTGTAGGCAGGTCAGAAATGTATTGGAACCAAAATCATTGTTGGTTTGTTTAAAAAAAAAAAAACAAACCCAATTTGATGACCTGAGCCTTTAACATTAGGGCGCTGTATGCAAAGTGTTTCACAATCATAAGTATTTATCACCTGTTATAAAAATATCAATCTGTCATAGCAGTGTTTTGCATGTTTATGTGAAATTTATGATCTTTTGTCAGTTTTGAAACCCGGCAAGCTGATGATGATAAATTCTTCTGACTCAGACAAATGTCTAATGGATGGTTTTCATATTGTAATGTTTTTGTTTTTAATGAATTACATTTGAGGATGATGTGGTTGCACGTTAATTTCCTCTCTTGCACGTTATTGTTTAGAATATTTGATTCCAGCAATATGTGGATGACAACCAAAATGTTCTGAAAAAAGTGCACTAGCTTGGGCCAAGGGACAGACAGGGGACAGTCTACACTGGGGGAAAAACACCGGTGGAAAAGCCCCAGAGACGAGCAGACCAGAACACTCGATAGTACCAACTGCTGCTGTACGAGCTGTCTGTATTTCTGTGCACGTGTTCTTGTTCTTTCAGTTTTTTCTATCAAAGGTTCCACTGTTGCATTTTAAGTCTGTTCGTGCGTTCCTGCACTGCTTATCTGTTATCTGTATTTTCTCAGCTGCAAATCAGGAAATCAGGGACAGGACGCCGTAATCTTGATCGATAAGCTTTGCTAGAAATATTCTTTCTGCAAAGAGAAACTCAGTGAGGCTCGAAGATTTGGAAGATTCAGAACAGGAGGTTATTTGCCTTTATTGGATTGACAGTAGAGTTAGACCAGGCACCTCTAGTAATGGGTCTATCCTTCAATACAAGAGTCACCTGCTCAACCCGGTGAATGAAAGCAGCGCTTTGATTAGACAGAGTCTGAAAATCCGTTTTAAGACGAGGATGAGATTGACCATTGGTCAGCTCCTAAACCATCGACAGCCAGCAAGGACAGAAATATGTATGTCTTGTGAATCTCAGTGACCTTTCCCAAGGAATGAGGCACGCTGCATGGCTGCCAGTATGCTGCAGCTCATTTAGCAGTTGCTTGTGTGCAGGTCATTAATTCTTATTTTGGACTTTCATCCCAGATGTTTCCTGGTCTAAATCCAATAGCAACAAAAATAAAAGCTATAGCGTATGTGGAGCCAAGATAGACAGCAAGACAACGTGCGCCACAAAGCTTTAGCTTGTCTTTATAGAGTGGCATGAACAGGCTGAATTGTACAAATTGACATGAATCCGATGCACTTCAGTGAATTAACCTTTGCAGTGATCAGAAACCTTTTGATCATTTTTATTTCTTCAACATAAAAATGTTTTTCCACCCCTTTCATCGTTAGGACAAAATGATCTCAGAGCAGTGAAGGTAGAGCCAGCTGGTCTCCCATCAGTTTAATATCAGTCCATAGGTTCTTTCTTAATGTGCACGCGCAAACAACCAGGAAAAAGCTGCTGGCTTGTCATCTTCATTAGCTCAAGCTAACAGGACATGGATACACATCGGAGATGGATTCATTATGCAGCAGGATCCACGGAGACCAGAGCTATACGCAACGATAACTAACTGCAACCACAAGATGGCTGTAATCTCAAACAGGCAAGTAGCTTTATGGAGCAGTTTGAGGTGAAAGTGGATTGTTTTACGATTTCACTAGAAACACACTGCTCTCCTTGGTGTCCTGACAGAATGCCTCTGTGTAAAAACCCTCTTTTAATTTGAATAACTTACTAATAAGGAACTGAACTTCTATCCGGTTGTTCAGTCTGACGTCACTAGCCGTGTCTGGGCCTAAACTCCGCTGCAGGTCCATATATCAAACGATCACTATGGCATTACTGAGAGTTGAAAAACTGTCTAAAGTCTTTCATCTTTAATAAAATGATCAGCGTTCTGCTCTACCAGGTGTAACAACTGAGTTTAACATCCAGGCATCCATGAAAACGGAATTTATGACATTTAACGGAGTTAGAAGTTAGCAGGGAGTTAGCTCGCTAGCTTCTATCTAAATACAATATAGCATGTCCTGACTGCGGGGTTTTGGAAACAAATTAAAACGTACAGCTCTGTTATCACTTCCAGCATAAATGAAGACAGAAAACTAAACAGCAGTGACGTTTGTAGGGTTACTGAAGTTGGGCTAGCTGGTATATAATGATGTGCTACGTGACCGCTAGCGACACAGCTATGTTAGCATAATATAAACAAGCTAACTTTTTTCCCACTCGATAAAAGTTAACGTGAGTGTTCTCGGTGGTCAGGAACAAATGTAATCGCATGGCAGGATGCTGTAAAAGGACCAAACTTCAGCCAGGAGAACAACTGAGATAATCCATCCACAATACGAGGTTAGTCATTCATATACTGCTGCATGGGCTGGGCTGTAGTTACATCCTAAGGTTTTAAAAACTGAGCTTAAATAAATGATTAGCGGTAATAAAAGCCGAGGGAGGTCAACAGTGATCACTGACTGTTTTAGGAGCTTTTTGAGATCAAATAGAAGAAAATACAAAACATTAAACATGTTAACAACACAAAAGCCATATTAAACGCAGACTACTTTAGACCCGGAAGTAGGATTCGTCACGTCATCACTGAACAACCGGATAGCACTGTGAGTTTATTATTGTTTATTATTTGTATTATTAGCTTGGATCTACTGGCACTGTTGTAATTATCAGGTGGGAATGTATGCCTCATATTGTTTTTACATTCTACAAAAAGGAAAACAGCATATTATTAGATTTGTCTTCTGTAAAATTGAGGCATAAATTTCAATAAAAAATATCTGGAAAAAGAACCAGTCATGTGATTTCTTCTTTTTTGCTCATATGCTGACCAGCCTGTGAACTTTGAGTCGCATACAAACTATTTCATGTTGCTGCTGCTTTTATTTAAGGAACATTTATAAATTGCAAGCTATAATCTCCTCTGAACTAGAGAAAACTTTATGCATCCACTGCCTTTTTATAAGCTTAGACAAATCATCCCTGTTACACCAAGCAAGCAATGCAAAGTGCTGCAGCCAGACTTTTAACACACTCTAGCGAGTGAGCTCACATTACCTCTATTTTACTTTCTTTAAATTGGCTCCCAAATGATTTTGGAGTTTGTTTTAAAATTCCTACCCTTACATAGAGAGCGCAAAATCCACAAACTCCAGAATAATTTTCTCAATTTCTTGTTAAAAATTGGTCTGCCATTCTTTGCTCAGTTGCTCTCTTCCTGAGTCTGTTGCAGGTGATACATTTATGGATAATCTGATACGGAATTCATCATCCAACTCGGGGCCCACACAGTCATAGGTTTCAGTTTCTGTTGTAACACTGTAACAAGAAAGCAGGTCCCTTGAGCCAGGCACTGTCACCACGGCAACAGTCGCAGAGCGTGTGCCTACGTCAGCAGTGTTAGCGCTCGTAAAAACACAGTGCCATTGTTTCGGTTCTGAAATCCTCCTGATTCGCTGCACCGTGTTAGTGAGATATATGTAGAAACGCTTCGTCTGGTCACGTGTTGACAAACACGTGAACCTTCATGCAATGCTCACAGAAGTCATTGGCAGGATTGTTGGTCCTCTCTAACAGTGAAACTGTGAAACATCTGTCTATGTCTGCGGTTACTGCAACAGTTTCACATCTGAATCTCAACAATACTTCCAACAAGCTATTATTGAGGTCAGGTCCAGAGAGGAGGGCATCTTTAAGAGAGACGCCATGACACTTTGCACTTGAGTCAAAACCAACTCTGATCTGACCCGGCTTCTGAGAATGGTGCACCCCAAAGGTAGGTAAAAACCAACACTGGTTGTCCACTTCAGGTGGAGTAGCCTGTTCAGCATGGTCACAATCAAATATATTCTGCATGAAGGCAAAGAAATTCCTCTTCATTTCAGGCCTTTTTTCAAGGGTGCGATAAAGAGAGGATTAGCATTTGACCACTTGGTCGTGACTGTTGGGCAGCCGCTGGCGAGGTCCCTTAAATGCAAGTGGTGTCACCCACCTGCCGCTGTCATCAATGAACATCTGTCTCTTTATGACCTCTAGGAAAAGTTTGTCTTCAACAGAAAGGCCGATTTTGTTATCGTCCTCAAATATATCAAAGAGAGTGCTTCCAAGAGTGCATGCATTAACTCTCAGTATTTCAGTGGTAGGAAAGACTTCCTGCTCAGGCTTACACCCATAATTTTCTTTGATATGAACCATGGCCTTGGACATGGGCGATTGTTCTCAAGCAAATTAGTGTGATAGGCATCCACAGTTGCAGGCTTGTGAGCATCACCTAAACAGACAACACTAATGATAACCCATCACAGGTCTGTGCGTATGGGGCATTGTGAGGACCATTTCTACGCTGCCTCACCTTATGGAGACTAAGTAGGTCACATGCCAGTAAAAGGAGGATCTCATCTTTCTTATCGAGTGGTGGGATAAGGTGGGCCTTTGAGATGAGCATGTTCTGCTGCCACCTCAGGGGTAGCTATCTCAGCTCTGTTACTCAGGATGTTATTACATTCAATTATTCTCAGCAGCGCGACTGATGTGGCTCCATCCAGTGACTCCACTACAAAGCCTGTGGCTCTTCCACCCATCA